GTCTGTATAGTTATATATATATATAGTATATATATATATATATATATATATAAAGTACCTTCCGCCATGCACGAGTTCTGAGGCATTTCTTACACTTTCTCTATTGCCATTTCGAAGAACGCGCGTGTGATTCAATTATGTCTCAACACAGCTACACTCCACAGAGCATATGCTGCTGAGTCTCCATGCAGGTGAGAGTGCGTTTAAATTTGTGTAGTGATCTCATGTACTCTGTCTATTACCTTGCACCGCAGCCGGTACGGTTCCAGCGGATGGCCCTGATTGGGTGCTATTTGTAGCCCGTTTTCTTGATGATGCTTCTTCCCCCCTGTTTCGGACACACACAACACGGTCAGTCTGGTTTGTGGGGAGTTACGGTGTGGATTGGGGACTAACTGTGCTCTAACCATCGACGTATTGAGATATCGATATCTTGTCACACGTGTATACTCTATCATGCATTTGTGTATATTTCGACATCGTTCAACAACACATAAAGTACCACACACAGAAGTGTGCAACAAACCACCTACCAGTCTCTTGCCACTTTTGATTAATTCCGGCTTATAATACAATTTTAATAAAACATCTTCAGCTAACCCGTATCGGACCAGTACAAGTGTGTGTGCGTGTATGTGTACCTGCGAACCCGAAAGCGCCACACACTCACGAAACGAACTATATCGCACTCACACACATACACTGGAAGTACACGAGTGAGTGTCACAAGTAGGTCTTTAGATAGGCAGTCGAGCCATAAGACTAATCTGCTGCCTATAACACCTACACCACCTGTACAACCTAACGTATGTATGCAATCAATACAGCTCATGTAACCACTACACTACCTACAACTATTAAACAACCACCTACACCACCTAAAACAGTTGTACAACCACCTAAACTACCTGCAACTATTAAACAACCACTTAAACTACTTACAACTATTAAACAACCACTTAAACTACCTACAACTATTAAAAACCACCTACACCACCTACAGCAGCTGTACTACCACCTAAACTACCTACAACTATTAAACAACCACTTAAACTACCTACAACTATTAAACAACCACTTAAACTCCCTACAACTATTGAACAACCACCTACACCACCTACAGCAGTTGTACAACCACCTAAACTACCTACAACTATTGAACAACCACTTAAACTACCTACAACTATTAAACAACCACTTAAAATACCTACAACTATTGAACAACCACCTACACCACCTACAATAGTTGTAGGAGATGTAGGTTGTTGTACAACAGTTGTACAATCATCACAACAGTTGTACAATCATCTGCACTCCCTACAACTGTCATACACCCCAATGTACCTATGCCGTATTGCACATGGGTTCGTCTGCGATGAGTAAAACGTTGATGTAAATCTATGCTACTGCCGTGAAGACCCCTACACTAACTTGTACATTGTGTACAAGTTCTATATACACGAATGGATGTGCAGTGATCACACATAAGCCTGACTGAGAACTTGGGGGGCCGTCCTTGGTGAGTGTACTATATTGATGTGTTTCTATCACTACTTTGAATACAAGTACACCCCCAAGTACCTTTCGTACACGTATGTCCTTTGAACACACACACACACCATACAGGCAACAACGTGTTGTCATCCCACACCATACAGACAACAACGTGTTGTCATCACACACCGTACAGGCAAGAGCGTGTTGTCATCACACACCTGTCCGTGGTTGTGCGCGTGGGGTCGTTCTTGGCCAGCAATGCGTTGATACGCTTTCTGTGTGTCGGATTGCCAATATCATCTGCGAGCCTGTTGGCGACCAGTTCCGCTCGTTCGTCCTGGTTGTGATATGCATAAGTTATTATTGTATAATATGAGAAGTATAGTTTATAACATATAATATGATGTGGATAATTTATATTAACAGAATTATCACGCAGAACCCCGTCAGAAACCAATACTACATAGAAACCGCACAGTAATAAATACCATGCGAAAATATAACACTTGCTTCAACCATGCAGAAGAAAGACAATCTCACATACTACCACCGTAACCCCACAGAAATGATTACTACGTAGAAATATAACACATGCTTCAACCATGCAGAAGCAGGACAGTTTCACATACTACCACCGTGTCACGTTAGCTGTGTACCCCCACAGTGAACAAGCTCTGTCCTGTGCCTTCAAACGCAACTCAGCGCCTCAGATGGATGCGTACAATACACATACGAAAGACCGTAAAACTATCCCATACGTGCCGAATAAAAGGCGCTACACATATACC